GAAGCCCTGAGTCAGTTGCACCTTAGTGCTCAAACTGACATCATTACTCCTCAATAATTTGGAGACGTCCCTAACTGCAGATTTTACCAGTACAATGTGTCTTATTTCCTGACTGCTGGTACCAAGGGTGTTAATTGTGAATACAAGGAAGATGAGGCTGTTGAAAATTTCAATCTCCTCTCCAACCATCATGATGCTACCTATCAGTCCAATGATAAAAATCTTTGTTTTCTTGGTGTTGAGATGCAATCCATACTGAAGGCTGTATTCCTTGACCTTCTACAAGTGCTTCAAGTTCTCCTCACTTTCAGCAAGCAAGATTGTGTTATCTGAATAATACAGGTTATTGATGAGTCTCCCTCCAATCCTGATGACACACTCCTCTTCATGGAGTCCAGTTTCTCAGATAATTTGCTCATCATACAGGTATATATATAGAGAATACAACCTTGACATACTTCTCAATTTAAAATCATACAGTGTTTCCATACTCTGTTCTCACAATAGCCTCCTGGTTCAGGCATAGGTTTTGCATGAGCACAATTAAGTTCTCTGAGACTTCTATTCCTATCAATGTCAGCCCCAACTTATGATCCACAGGGTCAAATGCCTTTGCATAGTCAGTAAACCACAAAAAGACATTCTTCTTGTATTTACTTTCAGCCAGGAACCCCATTTGACATAGTAATGATATCCCTGGTAGCACAGCCTTTTATAAATTCTGCTTGAACTTCTGGTAGTTCTTTATATATGTACTGTTTCAGCTGTTTTTGAATGATCTTCAGCAATAATTTGCTTGCATGTGATATTAATGATATTGCTTGATAGTTTCCACATTCAGTTGGATCACCTTTCTTGGGAATGGGAACAAATATAGACATGTTTCAATCCATTGGACAGACAGCTGTCCTCCAGATTTCCTGGCATAGACTAGTGAGTGCATCCAAGGCTGCATCTGTTAATTGAAATGCGTCAATGCCTTCAATGCAACTTCTACGTCCTCCTTCATTACCACTGGTTCCTGTTCATATGGTACTTCCTGCAATTTTTCAGTGTCAACCAATTCTTTCTGGTACAATTTGTCTGTGTATTTCTTGCATCTTCTTTTGATGCTTTTTGGGTCATCCAATATATTGCCCATAGCATCTTTCAATATTGCAACATGAGGCTTAGAATTGTTTTTCAGTTTTTTTCAACTTGAGAAATGCAGAGTGAATTTTTGTCTTTATTGATTCTCCAATTCCAGATCTCTGCACATTCCATTGTAATACTTTGCTTTGTCCTCCTGAGCTGCCTTTAAACTCATCTGTTTAGCTCTTTCACTTTGACATGCTTTCGTTTTGTTTTGGCTTCTCACCACTCCAGTGCAATCTTTGGAGTCCCTCCTGATATCTATTTTTAAGTTTTCTTTCTCCCCCATGGTTTTTTGTTATACTAGTTTATTTACAAAATTCAAATATATTGTTTTCCAGAACAGATTCTTCCAATTTCCCTCACCCCAACCCATCAAATTGTACAACCCTATGATTAATACACATTCTCATTCGTCTGCTTCCATCCCCCTTGGATCCTTATACTCCTTCTAAGATAATGGTTTTATACATTATTTGTCCTTGTGGGACTGAGTTGGTTCACGCAGCATAATGTTCTCCAGTACCTCTCAAGTTATGTAATAATTCACAAAATCATTGCTCCTGCGTACTGCATAGTATTCCACTGTGTGAATGTACCATAATTTCTCAATCCATTCGATTGTAGTTGGACATCTGGGCTGTTTCCATGTTATTGGGATGGTGAATAATGTTTCTATGAACATTGGTGTACAAGTCTCTGTTTGTGCCTCAGTTCTCGTTTTCTCAGGGTATCTTCCTAGTAGTGGAATAGCTGGGTCATATGGAATTTCTATGTTCAGCTTTTTGAAGAAGTGCTAAACTGCCTTCCAGAATGGTTGTACCATTTTGCAATCCCACCAACAATGTATAAGAGTTCCTTTCTCCCCACATCCTCTCCAACATTTATTACTTACCATACTGTTAAACTTTGCCACTAATTGTGGTTTTGATTTGCATCTCTCTTATTGCCAATGATTTTGAGTTATCTACAGTCAACTGATATTCAACAAGGAAATCAGAGGTTTCAAACGGGGAAATGACAACCTCTTCAACAAATGGTACTGGCAAAACTGGACTTTTCTTTTACCTGCAGAAAGTTGAAACAGGACCCACATCTCACACCATACACAAAAATCAATTCAAGGTGTATCAGAGATCTGGGAGTAAAGCCCCAAACCACAAAGTTCTCAAGAGACAAACTTGGATCAAGCTTAGAAGCACTATCCAAGGTATAAAGAGATTGCTAAATACAACCAGAAATGCACAATCTGAAGAGGATAAAATTGATGAATGGTACCTTCTACAGATTAAATCCATGTGTGCATTAAAAACTTTTCCAACGTGTGAAAAGAAAACCTACTGACTGGGAACAAACATTTGGTAATACCATCTCAGACAAGAGTTTCATAATGAATGTCTGCAGAAAACTAATAGGCCTCCACAAGAAAAAGACTGATAACCCTATTACAAAATGAACAAAAGACATGGGAAAATTCTCAGAAGAAGATCAAATGGCAAATAGACACATGAAAAAATTTCTCTCCCATTTTTGTAATCACCTTTTGCTTGCTTCATGGATGATATCCCTGTTATTGTCCAACAATGCTCAAATTTTTTTTTAAATTTTTATTGGGAAAAAACAAGTTGGGGGTACAAGGAGGTGCGGGTTGGGGGCAGAAGGGTGAGGATGGGCAGGGATGCAGTTGCAGAGCTGCAGAAATTGGTTGGTGGGGGGAGCAGGTGAAGGAAATGAAAGTGATCCAGTGGGGACCAGATGCTACAGGAAAATGACAAGCA